AGATGAGAAAGTGTCTACCTTAGGGTGAGTCAACACTTGCTGAGGGTGGCTAACGAAAGGGCTGTGTGACCTCAGAGGTCGCTGGGTGCCTGTCCCAGCAGGCCAGCCGCTAATCCAGAGCAAGCCGGCATCTGAGACTCAGCCCGCAGCCTAACACATGCGTAACATGGGAGACCACAACTGAGACCCTTTCAAGAACAAGGGCAGGACGCTGGTAACCGCAGGTGACCACCTCGGAAGGGAGAGGACTTGAGGGGAGCGACAGGGAGTGAGGTCTGGGGACTCCTGTCCTGGGAGCAGGACACCGGAGGGTGTCCACACAGGACTATCTAGAGCAGTCCTGTCGTCCAGGGTAAGGACTGCGCTGCTGTAACATGTTACCTGAAAACGGACTCTTCTAGATTTAAAAAGATCTGAAAGGCAGCGCCAATTTCTTTAGATTTTCTTCAGATCTCTGTAAATTAGATGCTATGTCACAACTGAATGAAAATTAACCCAATGTTTTAAATTCCACATTAACATTAGTTATTAATCACTACCATTTGTGGATGATCCACATTCTGTCGACAAGGAGACTGAGCCACAGAACAAGGAGCTGCCCCAGGCCAGAGAGTGGGGGAGGTGGCCACCCCCAGGGTTCTGCCAGGAGGTTGGGGAGGAGAGAAACAGCACCGGGACAGGCAGGTTGGGACAGGCGACTCCTGGCGCCATAACCGTGTGGAGCAGACAGCCAGAGCCTCTGGTAAGAGCAGCGGCATGTGCGGTCACCCCCTGTCCCCGGATCCCTGCTCTACAGCACCGATACAAAAGCCTTTCCTCAATCATGGGCTTGGAGGTGTGCAGCTGAGTTACTGAGAAGAGAGGGCTCACAAGCTGTTACACCTGCTTCCCATCAAGGGATGAATCTTCAGACAGAAACGTGGAGAAGAAATAAAAATGGTTTTGCACACAGTAGGCCCCTGATGATGATTAGTAGAAAAAACATATAAAACCAGGGTAAACAGAAAACTAGGAAGGCATAAAGGCATCCCCACAGAGCCTGAGGCACAAGCCCCTTAGATGAACTGACCCTCAGGGCAGGGTCTCCCCCTGGGACCACTTTGGTCAGACTAGCCTGAGTCTACACCTGTTCACCCACGAGTCCCCAGTAAGCAAAACTCTCTCCTTGAGGTTTTTTCAAGGAAGTGAAAGGAGTAGTGAGAACACACCATGAAGTACACGCACGTGCACACTCATGCTTGCACACTTCAACACACAATCCCTGCACGCCTGCTGTCCGGGTGACCACACAACACCTGCTACTTAACTGCGTCCAATCTCCACCCCCGACTGCTCCCTGAAGCAGTCCTGACTCAACGCTGGTCGGCTGGCTCACCATAACTTAACCACGCACAAGATTCAATAGCCACTTCTTCGCCAGCACGGGTGTGTTTCACAAGGATCTGTGCACATGAAGCGAAGGCAGCTGTGAGCAGGGGAGCCAGGAAACCCGGGCTCCAGGCCAGACTCCTTCAGTCACCAGCTGTAACTGGGGGCAAATCACCTGGGGTCACCAAGGCTCTAAGTCCCCGAGCAGGTGAAAGCACTCTGTAAACAGAAAGCCCTGCTCTGTGAAGGGCCTATTATCCACAAGTAACTCAATAAACAGAAATTCCAGTTAGCCCAAAGGTTAAGATATCAAACTCTAATTAAGGCCTCACTTTAAAACTCAACACCATGTAATTACAAGTAAAAAAAGAAAATAAAAACCAAGTTAATCATCGGCACTCCCTTACCGGTTTGTTAATGCTGGCTCCAGCTTGGATCAACCAGATGAGGCACTGAGGGTGTCCCCCAAAAGCGGCAATGTGGGCTGGGGTCTGTGCGTAGCGCGTCGTGGACACGTCCAGAGTGGCCCCAGCTCTCACCAACTGGATCAGGCAGTCCAACTTTGAAAACAGCAGAAAGGAGATGACACGCGTAAGTGTCGTACACTATTAAACACCACACACGCCATTTCAATTCTATGATGCAGATAAGTGGCATTTTTTTGTTACCATTTTTTTTTTTTCCGTTTAAGGGAACACAAGCCGTTCCTTTGCAATACATATTGTAAAAAAGCATTTAAAAGTTATTTTTCCTTGTCCTGGTAAAAAAAAGTTCGTACGCAGGAAGAAAAGTAAAAACTATTGATGTCACACAAACTTAAATAAAGACCTCTCTGAAGTCTGCACATGTCCATATGATGCAGCTTCGGGGACTCGGGTGAGAGGCCCATCCTCCAGACAAGTCAGGAACAAGATGTGCAGAGTGAGAGGTGGCACTCAGTCCCCCACCCCCGCCTGGGGGAGAAAAGGGCCTCACGAGTGACTAGGAGACCACACTCCACAGCCAGGCGCCCATATCATCCTAGCTCATCACACTCAACAGATGTGCAAAACATGCCTACCGCGAGCCGGGCCTGCGGTCCCAGATGGCCTGCGGTCCGTAGACTCACACTGCCCCCCCCCCCCCACCCCCCGTGTGTCCTCAGACCGAGGGGCCGGCTCCCTTTACCCTCTTGAGGCACAGGGCAGAGCTCACAAAAGAGCTCTCCCTGCCAACGGCTGTATTTCGGGAGACAGCCCTCAGAGAAGGACAAACGGCCACACCCCAACCTCACCCCACAGCTCTTATCGTCTTTCTGCGACTTAAGGTCAGGTCACCATGATCACCCTGTGCAGGAGATGAGCCCCATACTTTGGAGCACCCAGATTTAAAACACGCTCTCTCGGTCTTCTAGGAACTGAAAATCTGGGAGTGACGGCTCATAAAGAGACACACCGTTGGTATACTTTCACACACCGGCTTTATTGATGGACCCAGTGAAAAGTGACAGTGCCAACAGAGACAAACAGGTGTCAAACCCCAAAAACGGCAGAAACAAGGATGAAAATCAGCTGGTGTGCCAAAACCGGTTAATCCCATAACATCAAGAGCTCCTTAGACTTAACTCTGTCACCTATGCGTTCACTTTGGCAAACTGGGTTTGGAATGCTGGAAAGATACTGTTCCATGCGACAACTTATAAAAGCAAAGTGTAATTAGGGATTTTAATTAGCAATAATCGCGCCTCGGATAAACCTCATTGGCTACGATACTGCCACTGCGCAAAGCTTAGGGATTTTAAATAATGCCTAGTTCTCGAGGAAAAAATCAGCCTCACAAAAGGTCAGGCAGCGTGCATAATTGGCACATTGATAGGAACACCAGCTTGAAAGTTGGGAATAGTTCATAACGTGCAGGCTTGAGCACAGCAGAGGCTTAAATGTACAAAAAGCAGGGAAGCTGCAGGCGATGGGGCAGGAGGGACTGGACTGAGAACCCGGAGCCCTGACTCCTGGCCTCATTTCTGCCCCAACAGCTTTCTCACACTGAAGTAACTAACTGCCTCCAGCTATATTTGGTATCCAAGGTTAACCGACAGGAGGTGGAGACTTTCAAAAAGTGAATTCAGTGGGTTTTACTTCTTACTGCTCATAAAATATACATAACACGCAACTTACAATTTTTAAAGCATGATCAAGCCCTTATAGCTACCTGTATTCCCTAGAGATACCTAGGGGCACCCGTGGGTCGGTAAATAAATACTCTGAATGAATGTCTGTAAGGCTGTTTTAAACACCGTCCGGAATGTACCAGATTGTCATGCTCAACTGGAGAATAAATCAACAGGGGAGCCTTTTCGAAAAACGCTGTCCTTGCCTGTTACGGGGTAGTCTTCCCCCAAAACACTGAGGGACAAAAGACGTGGAGAACCAACGCTCCGAGTTACCCACCATGTAAACATAAAGCAGAGCAAGACGCACTGGACAGTGGACAGAGCCTCAGATGGGGACACACAGGGCTGGGGGGGGGGGGTTGGGGGAGAAGGGCCAGAGAGGCTCCTGTACTTGCGCCTGCTATCAGGTACGGACGGGGCGCTGGCACGGGGACCCCCAGCGGGCACGCTCTTCCAGACCCGGGCTGGGGTCCTAACCGCTGTCCTAACCCCCTCTCGTTTCCTCCACCAAAACCACTCTGACTCTCCCATTTCGTGAATCACAAACGCTGTCCCAGGAGATACACCTGTACTGTGAATGTAGCCGCAAGGAAAGCAGCCTCACCGACTAGTGACAAAAACACGTCCCTGAAAGGAAATAACTCACTTCACGTCACTGCACGCTTCTCCACAAAACCCTTTCTCCATTTCGGCCTCGGCTCCTCGCTTCACGGGGAAAGCATTTTTTTTACACGTCCGGAATTCTGGTACATCAATCTCTACCATTAAAGCGCTGAAATGCAGCGTGGACCTCAGTCGCTGACTCGCCCTGAGCCGGTGATTACGAAGCGACGGAGAAGAGGACGCAGAGGACCCCCCCGCCCGGAGGACTCCCAGCAGCCCGGTGCAGCCCCACACCAGCCCCCGGTCCAGACAGCTCGCGCCCCGCGTGTGTCCGCCCCCATGGCGCCGGCAGCACGGCTCGCAGCTGACCGCGGAGGCGCGAGCTGCCCAGCCCGCCGCAGCCACCAACAGCCTCCGCCAGGCGCGGCGCCCCCGCGAAGCCGGCGCCGTTTGAAACTTGCGCCGCCGCACATGCGCCCGGGGCCCCTCGGGGCGCCGTCGCCTCGGGGCCTGCTTCCGCCTCGTGCTCCCGGCACGCCCTGCGCCCCCCTTGGGGCCCCGACCGTCCGCGCCGCCGCACATGCGCCCGGGACCCCTCGGGGCGCGGGCGCCGCCAAGACCCCGCTTCCGCCCCGCGCTCCCGGCACGCCCCGCGCCTCAGCCCCCACCTTCCCCGACCCACCACGGGAAAGCTGCGGAAAATGGCGCCTTAAAGCGCCCGCGCCCACCTTGCCGAAGTGCGCGGCCCAGTGCACGGGCGTCCAGCCGTAGAAGGAGTCTTCGGCGGCCAGGTGGGCGCGCGGCGTCTGCTGCAACAGAGAGCAGAGCGCGGCCAGGTCCCCGTCGCGGCAGGCGCGGTGCAGCGGGAAGCGGAGCGACAACAGCTCCTCGCTGGAGAAGCCCGCCTCCACGCCTGCGCCCGCTCCTGCCGTCGACATGGTCCGTCACCGGAGAGCGCGGGCTAGCTGGCCGAGAGGACGCGCGGGTGAGGACCCGAGAGGCCGTCGCCTGAGCACAAAGGAGCGAGAGTGCCGCCGCCGCCGCCGCGTCCCGCCGGCTGCCGAGCCGAGCCCAGCCGAGCGCGTACAGGGGGCGGGGCGGGGGCGGGGCCTACCGCGGGCAGGTCTGAGGCCCGTGCCCGCGGACGCCGGGTCTGAAGGTGGGGCCTGCAGTGCCAGGGGGCGGGGCCTGGTGGGGCGGGGGCTGACTCGTGGAGCAAGAGCGGGCCAGGGAGCAGGGGGCGTGGCCTAAGCGGAGGCGGAGCCTGGAGAGCAGGCGAAGTGGCCTGGAGCAGGGGGCGGTGCCCAGCTGGTCCTGGGTAGCGGGCCTGGACCAGGAGGCCGGCCGGGAGTGGGGCGGAGCCTGGGGAGTCCATGATGAGGCCGGGGGCAGAGGGCGGGGCCTAGTGGGGTCCCGGATGCGGCAGACGCCTGGAGCGGGAGGTAGGTCGGGAGAGGGCGGGGCCTGGGAGCGGGCGACGAGCCCGGGGGCAGGGGGCGGGGCCTAGCGCGGTCGGAATGAGGCTGATGTTCCGAGCCCGAGGCTGGCCGGAACCTGGAGCAGGGGGCTGGGAATGGGGAACCTGGAGCCGGGAACGGAGGGAGGGGACTCGGGAACCCGGAACGGGGACTTGGGATCCGGGAACGGGGAGTGCGGGGGCGGAGAGCCCGGGGGCCCGGACTGGGAGGCGGGGAGCGGGGAGCTGCGCCGAGGCGGATACCCGGCCGCGCGGGTGGGGTCGGCTCTCAGCCGCGTGCCCCACCCAGACCCCAGGCCCCGCAGTCCAGACCAGCCTCCGCCCGGCTCTGTCCTCTCCAGGCGCCTGCCTGTCGGGCGAGCTTCGAGAGCAGCCAGCAAAACCCTGGAAAATCCTGTCAGTGACAATCACAATGAGAATCACAGTTTTCTTAACAGATTTTTTCCTCTTATGAGTAATACGTGAATATCAATAATTTCACTATCGAGGAATAACTACTATCAACGTTTATGGGTAGTTCCTTACAGTACCTTTACCACATAGTTTCGTTATATATATTATTTTTCCTTGTATATATTGCCTTTTTTCCTTTTTTTTTTTTTACAGAATTCTGAATCACAGTAATTCAACTTTAAGTAGGTAACCAGATGTCTGGGAAAATAATAGTGCATGAGATAGCACCTGGCAGCATTAGTTAATAAGAAATTAGGCACCTCGTGCCTAACAAAGGAAATTGTTAATTTATGGTATAAACGTACAACACATTCCTCTATTCGTTAAACAAACATGTTGATTACAATGCGAATGGAGCACTTTGGGAGGTGCCCCAGATGCAGTGAGGGAAAGCAGCAGTATATCAATTCAGGGGGTGATTAGTAATGCATGGGAAATATGAATGAGGCAGGTTCTGTTTCCTTTCCAGGAATTTATAATCTAGTAGATGAGGCAGGGAAGAATATTTCAGTAGGCGAAACACTACCTTTTTTGTTTGGACCAGAAAGGTAGAACTATGCTGTAAACTCATTGCAAGCTTGAATTCTGGAGCAGACAGAATTCAACCATTTTTCTTTTCATACACCAGGCTGATTTTAATCTCATTATGTCTGTAAGATGTGCACCATAATGACTTCCATCCTTCCTGGGAAAGCAGCACCCCATTTTGTAAGATGCATTGTCATCTGTAATAACTAGAGGGAGGGATTACTTATGCCTCTTTATAGTGCCTGCTGCAGTGGACAGAACTGAGACACAGATAAGCTGAGAACTTGCACAAGGACAAACGGTGTGCCTGGGGCAGAGCTGAGAATAATTGCCAGACCTAGTTTCCAATCCAGTTAGATTTTTTTAACTTTGGAATATATTTTGCATAAAGAGCCTTAAGGCCTAGGAAAATAAAGTAGGTTATAGTGGCACCATACTTAGAATGCCATCTTTCCTCAATTAAGGTTACTTTCTGGTTTTCAGAGTTGCTAGGAGTATGTAGATATTTATTTATTTTTATGTACATATTTAAGTAGCTGAAATAGATCGTCAACCTAGATGTGATGATGGGTCCCTAAGATAGCCTGCATGATAATTGTGGATGGAACAGTTATAAAGGGTGTCCAATGAGTACTCCAAATTCCAGTGTTCTGGTTGGTTGGTCCCAAGTTTTGCCCAACTCATTATTACCAATTATGGATTTTCTTTGGGATTCTTGTTTTTACAAAGCTCTGGGGCAAAGGGAGGAAACCAGATTCATCACTCATGTGCTTTGATTTATTTGACAAAGCAACAATAAATAAGTGACAGAACATTCTCTTCTTGACCAAACTAATCTGTCTCCCCCCAAATTTTGACGAGGCTTAAATGTTCGGATTTGTGTATTTGTCTCTGCATTGTCCAGTTTTAGCAAGACTCCTGCTAAGTTGGTTGAGCTAGAATTCCCATCCCCCATATCCGATCATCTTTGATATCTAATCAGTTTCTTCACCCCCCAGCCACCCCCAAGTGGTGTTGGCTCTACCCAGCCTGCCTTCAGCAAGAATCCTGCTGGGTCAGTTTAGCCAGAACCTGATGGTTAGCTGACCCTGCTGTTTTGTCGTAGTAATTTTCCACCCTCCATCGCCCACCCAGGGTAAAGAAGTTGCCCATGCTGTTCTCAGAGCCGAGTCCGATCTCTCTCCCCAGAGTCCGATCTCTCTCCCCACTGCAAGCAAAAGTGGGGTCCTGGTTCCCACTTGCTGTAGCCTCCTCGGAGTACAGTCCACCTTACTATGCTTTAACACGTCTCACTAAACGATGTTTTTGACTAATAATCTTTTTCTTTAACATAAGCAAACTTGTGTATTTGAAGAGGTGATTCGGAAATATGAAAGAAAAGAGGAAGACCCAAAATCCCAAAGTATCAAAATAAGATAACACAACCCCCACGGCCGCCCCCCCCCCCCGCCCGCCCGCCCCGCACTTAGGATTGCATTGTGTGAGAATTGCTTAAATGGGCTCAGGTGAAGGCTCGACCCCTCAGGTGAAGGGCTCGGGTGAAGGCACGTCCCAGTCAGAGGTGCGCAGAACTGCCCACACGCTGTGGAGACATCAGTGGGGCTGTTTTCACACTTGGAACAGGACATGGTCAACGCCGTGTCATGGGAGGGGAGACTGCAGAAGAAAGCAGGACCCAGGCTATGCACCACGCTAAGACACAGTCCTTCATTACTGCAAGTGAGAGGCTTTGCTGTGATGCCAGGTGATGGGTGAGGGCTCAGAGGAAGACCCACATCCGATTTGCAGCTGGCTGTGTGTGGGTAGCCCACTGGGACCGTGCCCTCAGCCTGGGCTGCAAAGTGGGAGCACAGCCTTACTGTTCTCTCTCGTCCATGACCCCCCATCTACCTCCCTCCATGGGGCTAGATCCATCTTTTAAGAAGGCAAATACACTTAAAATTGGACACCGAGCAGTGTCTCGGTCTGTTCCAGCCTGCAAAACAAAGTACCACAGACGGGGGGGGTTTAAACAACAAACTGGAAGACTGCGAGTCTGAGATCAGGATGCTAGCAGGGACCCTCTTCCTGGATCACAGATGACATCTTCTTTCTGTGAACCCACTCAGTGCAGAGGGAACCACCTCTCTGGTGTCTCTTCTCTGCGGGGCACTGACCCCATCATAGACGTTATCCCACCCTAACCACCTCCCAAAGGCCCCACCTCCAGATAGCATCACATTGGCGTGAATTTCGGGGACACGGGCATTCAGTCCATAGCAAACGACTTCCCAGACTCCTGTCATTCAGATACCACTTCCACGTGGATTTTTACCACTTCTGCGTGGACTTTTGTATCCACAGAGGATCTGTACTATTAATAATTTTCTTAAAATAACTTAATTTTTTGGAATTACTGACTTTACGTTCTCTTTATTAAGAAAACACCAATGAGTTTATGGTGCCAACTACATTTTCCTCATTTAAGCAAATCCACAATAAAATAACACATGTTCACGTGCTTCCCAAATCAGTTCCCATGGTTGGTGGTGCTACACCACACTTTGGAAATTGCTCCTTGGGAGCAAAATCCCAGATCTGTTCCTTGGCCTGTTGACATGCCTACAGCCAGGGCCTGCCTGCCTCTCTGGACTTGTCTGTCCTCCTCACAGGCTGTCCAGGGAGCCCTTGAAACCAAGGGTGCTTCTGCTGAAGGCTCCCACCCCATTCCCAGCGCTTCTTTCCCCTGTTGTGACCAAATCATGCCTCCCTGAGTGCTTTAGAATGTGACCTGATTTGGAAATGGAATCATTGTAGATGTAACTAGTTAAGATGAGGTCATAGTGGGGTAGGCCAGCCCCAAACCCAGTGTGACTGGTGTCCTTATAAAAAGGGGCATCTGGACACAGATGCACACATGGGGAGAACACCATGAGGCAGAGATGGAGGGGTGCAGCAGAAGTCAAAGAACCCCACGGATGGCCAGCAACACCAGAGGCAGGGGTACACCTGGGGCAGGTCCCCTGTCACGACCTCCTTGGGAGGTCCAGCCCTGCCCACACCCGGCCTCCAGAGTGAGAGGGCTTAGATTCAGGTTGCCCAAGCCCTGTTTGCTGGGCTTGATTGTGGCAGCCTCAGGACACTTGCCCAGGACACAGGCTTTGCTGGGGAGGCTTCCCCACTGCCCACTGCCCCCTGCCCCCTGCCCACAATCCAATCCAAGTGCCTCTCCTTCCAGAAGCCTCCACCAGGCAACAGCTGGAGCCTCCTTCCCCTCTACTCCAGGGTTCCCAGGTGTCTGGCATTTTAGTTTCCTCCCACCCTTGGATGAAAACATTCAAAAACCCAGCAAGTAAATGTTACTCATTTTTAGTCATAAAAACTTGATTGTCAACAGGCCTTTTCTGAGATGGCCTCTCCACTTCCAACAGGCCTCTTGACGAGTAGAAACATGCTCCAAGCTTGCTTCTGGTGGCTCCAGGTGGGAAGGCAGAGAGAGGTGGCCTCTCTCTGCTCTGAAAGGGAGCCCCCAGGCAGGGCCCAGAGCTTGCTCTGCAAACCAGTGTCCTGTTGAATAAAGTACTGGACGGATGCCTTTCTCTCTCGCACCCTCCACCTCTGTCTCTATGTCTGTCTGTCTCTCCATATTTCCATCATTATCTCTCTGTCTCTGTCTCTTACTCTCCATCATCACTGTATCTTTCCTGTGAGGACAGAGCCCCACCCATGCTGAGCCTACAATACAAATTTGTTGAGTGACAGGAGGCTAAAGGCTGAAACTCAGATCAGTTGGCAGCTCCTTGTCAGGAAGGGGAGACCTGCTGTGGACCAAGGATGTCAGTTATTGAGCATCAAGATTCTGGAATCTTACTGATTGTCCTGCATCTTACTCCTGTCTTGTGAAAAAAGTGATTAGTGCTGTAATGGGAAAAATTCAATTTTTTTTCCTTCTGATGTAGAAAAAAAACCAGTTCTTCCTCACTGTGTTTCTTCCCCATGTGTTTCCTTTGCCTTCACAGAGAACACTTCGCTTCTGATGCTTGTGGTCACCAAATGCGTGGAGGTTTTTTCCCCCACACAATTCTCTCCAACACCAGCTCAAGTCTGACACCATCAACCCGGAGATGGGACCAGACCCCACAGGTTAAGGGCTCAGCCCCACAGGACTGCCCCGACCTCCACTTCAGCTGCCACTGCCCCCTGTGCTTCTGACTGACTCACTACAGACGGGAGGCTCCCACGAGCCCCTCCTAAGGTTAGTTTGCTAAAGCAGCTCACATAACTCAAGGGAACACTTAGAAGTTTATTAAAGGACATGAAAAAAAGCCCCAAAAATCAACATCCAGGTGAAGGGATGACAGGAAAAGGTCAGGAAGGGGCTCAAATCCACAAACCGTGAGATCATGACCTGAGCCAAAACCAAGAGTCGGATGCTTAACCAACTGAGCCACCCAGGTGCCCCAATGACTTCAACCGAACAAAAAGGACCAGAAATGAAGTAAAAGATAAGCTATAGGTCCACGGAAATAGACTGCAAGTCATTTAACAAAGGACTTATATTCAGCATATACAAAGAACTTCTACAAATCAAGAAGAAAGACATGAACAACAAAAATGGGCAAAGATATGAATAGGCAATTCACTGGAAGGAAACACGAATATCCAATAACCAAGACATTCAGTAACCAGTGATTTCTCCTGTCCTACTGAATGGATTAATCCTGTCCACCGGCAAAAATTTGCATGGATGTTCTACCTTAGGACAACAGCTCTCTTTCCCATATGTATCTTTCCAGCGACTGTGCATATTTCTATTTCCCTTCTTCCCTAATGTCAAAGAATTTATATATAGTTGACACTTGAGCAATGGATCTTGGGCACTGACCACCACCACACAGCTGAAAATCCACATGTGACATTGACTGCCCCCCTCTGCAACTTTACTACTAATAGCCTACTGCTGATCAGAAGCTTAACCAGTAACATAAACAACACAGATTTTGTGTCCTGTGTACTATATACTTTATTCTTACGATAAAGTAAGCCAGAGAAAAGAAAACCTTCTTAAGAAAATCACAAGGAGGAGGAAATACATTTACAGTGCTGTGCTGCAAAAGACCTGTATGTAAGTGCACCAGTGCAGTTCAAGCCTGTGGTGTTCAAGGGTCAGCTGTAGTTTTTGCCTTGCACTCCAGCAGGGCATCAGTCCCCAGCAGTCCTGTGGAATAGCTCCTGGCAAACTCATCACAGCCTCCGGGTTTGCCAACCCACAGTCTCTGCTAATCTTGTGTTTCAGGGTGTGGAGTGGCTGGGCAGCTGGCTCCTCTTGGGAACATGATGTCCTGGCTTCTGTGACTCTGCAGCTTTCCTGTGTAACCTCCAAATGCTCAAGGGCCCCAGGCCTCAGTCCTAGGCCCTTTACTCTTTTTACTTTCTTCCTGGGCAATCACATGGAATCCCATACCTTCAAGTACTGTTTACATACTGATGATTCCTAAATTCATGTCTCCGGCCTGGACCTTTCCTGCAGCCCAGACTCATAAACCCAGCAGCTTAGTCCTTATCTCCATTAGGATCTCTCCTAGACAACTCCACTGATGCCCCAAATGGAATTCCTGAGTCACCCCTACACCTGTTACTCCCACTCACCACCCCACCCCCACTCTCTGTCTCTGTGAAAGACCCAGACATGTCTACCCAGGGGCTCAAGTCCAGCACCCAGGGGCCAACGCTATGCTCACAGTAGATCTCGGTGGCTCTACCTCAAATATGTCTTCAGTGCACACGCTTCTTTCCATCCCTACCACCCCAAGACATGCTTTCCTGCTTAAACCAGTGTGACTGCCTCTTGGCTTTTCTTGTTCAGGATATAAATCCAACAATGGCTCCGGCTTAAAACCTGCCAATATCTCTCCACTAATAGTAAAAGAATATCCACATGGCACAGACTTGAATGTCGTTAGTAAGATTGTGGAACTGAATTTAACACTTTATTTATATTTTAAAAATGTTTTAATGTTTATTTATTTTGAGAGAGAAAGACAGAGAGAGCGTGCTTGTACAAGTGGGGGAGGGGCAGAGAGAGAGGGAGAGAGAATCCCAAGCAGACTCCATGCCATCAGTGCACAGCCCAACGTGGGGCTCAATCTCATGAACCATGAAATGATAACCTGACCTGAAATCAAGAGTCAGACACTTAACCAACTGAGCCACCCAATCCCCTCAATTTGACACTTTATTTAATTTTAACTTATTTAGATTTGGATTTAAAAGCAATTATTGGCAAAAATTTAAGAGTCTAAACAACTTAAAATCAACTTGGATATGAGTACCTGCTCTTTCTACTGTAACCATTGTGAAATGTAAACGCAGATCAAATATTCCCAGGGAAAATGTAGCACTCCCATTGAGACATGCCGTACCTGTAAAATGGACCCCGAATTGGTAAGAGTAAAAGAATACAAAATTCTTCATGAATGATTTTTAATATGGAGTGCATATTCAATTTGTAACATTTTGGATACGTTGGGTTAAATAAATTATATTGGTCAAATGATTTTCACCTGTTTATTTTTACTTTTTTTTTAGCGTGGCTCATGGAAAAGTCTTCCTTATATACGTAATTCTCACATTTTGTTTCTATTGGTCAGCTTGGCATGTATTATCTATCCATAAATCAATGTAAGTAGTTAGTTTTTTTGTTTGTTTGTTTTTTTCTCTTCTGGGGAATACCAGCAGTTTCTTTGTCTGAGTGCTGGGCTTGACCTCAGGCCTATTTTGAAGAAAGGAATGAGTATCTTTGAAGAGTAGGATCACCAGCAGATGGTAAATGCTCCTGAGGACTCGGGAGGAATGAGAGCCTGAGCCCAGGCCAACCAACTGCTCTGCCCCACGGTGGGCACCTTCTCCCCTCCCCCAGGCGGCACGGGCAGCATCCTGGACTGTTCACACGGTGTTTCTCTTTCTCTTCCTCCCTCTCTTTTTGCTAAGTATGTGTGGTTGAAATTATATAAGCTAAATGCAAGTAAGTTAAATATGCATGGGATATGAGGCAACTTTCAGTTTAAAATAACTATAATGTAATCTTGTAACTGTTTATACTTCTAAACAGAAGTATAAATAGACATACCTATTTTCACCCTATAAATCGATGTGAGAAATGGTTTTTCACCTGTGAGTTTCTGGGGGGTGAGATGTTAGGGACAAATATTTTTTAATATGTCTATAGTACTTGACTTTTTTTTTTTTTAATTTTTTTTCAACGTTTATTTATTTTTGGGACAGAGAGAGACAGAGCATGAACGGGGGAGGGGCAGAGAGAGAGGGAGACACAGAATCGGAAACAGGCTCCAGGCTCTGAGCCATCAGCCCAGAGCCCGACGCGGGGCTCGAACTCACGGACCGCGAGATCATGACCTGGCTGAAGTCGGACGCTTAACCGACTGCGCCGCCCAGGCGCCCAGTACTTGACTTTTTAATGTTTATTTTTGAGAGCGAGAGAGACAGAGCACGAGTGGGGGAGGGGCAGAGAGAGGGGGAGACACAGATTCCAAAGCAGGCTCCAGGCTCTGAGCTGTCGGTACAGAGCCTGACGTGGGGCTCGAACTCACAAGCCGTGAGATCATGACCTGAGCCGAAATCGGATGCTCAACTGACTGAGCCACCCAGGCTCCCCAAGTACCTGACTTTTTAAATGAGCATTTTCCGGTGGGGTGATTAATGGTTCTTATAACAAAGTCTAGACATTACAGAAATACATAAAGTAGATAGTGAGATGAAGGTCCCTCATAATTCCACCCCAGTGATGGTCACACGTGTTGTATATGTTTACACACACACACAAATATAAGTATTGTTACACATTAATCTACCCATGGTGTTTCCGGTAAAATAGACTCCTCTTACCCACAGTGTCTGCACCTAAAATTGGTAAATTTTAGGCAGCTCTCCATGCTGGCGGTAGGCATCCCTGCCGCCCTTTCTAAAAGCCACGTGGTTTGCCCGTGTGTGTCTGAGCATGATTTATCTTCCTATTCTTTATAGATGAATGCATCTTTTTTTTTCTTTTTTCCAATTATGAGAGATGTTGCAGTGAATACATTTATATACAGTTCTTGGCATACTTGCCCAGTTTTCTGAGATGGAATCCTGGTCGATTTTCTGCACAGTTTAATGGCTTTACATACATTTCCAAGTTACCATTCAGAAAATGTGGGCAAATTTACACTCCCACCAACGATGTTTGAGCCTGCCTGTTTCCTCACACCTTGGCCAATACTAGGTATTAATCATATTTTTAACTTGAAGAAATCTGATATGCAGAAGCGATTCATCCAGCAAGTATGTACGTCATTAACTTACAATTCTAAAAATATGAATGAGACTGCTACGGAGGGTCTATGTGTTTTAGGTTCCTGTGTGTTACGTATTCCTGCCGAGTTGCCAATTGGTTCGCTTGGGTTATTTGTAAATGTTCTGTTAATTTATTATTAAAAAAAAGTTTTTAACATTTATTTTTGAGAGAGGGAGGGAGAGAGAGAGAGCGAGAGCGCGCTAAGAAGGGGCAGAGAGAGAGGGAGACACAGAATCTGAAGCAGGTCCCAGGCACCAAGATGTCAGCACAGAGCCCGATGTGGGACTTGAACCCACAAACCGTGAGATTATGACTTGAGCGCTCAACGAACATAGCCACCCAGGCACCTCTGTTCTGCTAATTTATAAGAGCCTTTTATGTTTAAGAATACTGACTCTGTCATGTTACAGGGTTGTCTTCGCTATTTTAATGTCTCCCTTTCCTTGGCCAGACTCGTCTGCTTTATGCAGTCAAGTCTGACCACGTATTTTTCTTCATAGTTGCTGTCCTTGGAGTTGTGCTAAGAAAAGAATGCTGAGATTATGACAATATCCCTGTGCTAGCGATCGACTTATTGTGCTTCTGCTGTGGCGTCCACTCTGTCACAGTGGGTGGGACGTCCTGACGGGTTTTTGGTTGCCATAGACGCAGCGCCCAGCTTCAGGAGTCGGGGCTGCTGGAGGGCACGTGACAAGGGACACCGCCCGTCCTGGTCTGGGAGGGCCCTGTTTGTTCCTTCACCCTTGCTCTGCGGGGTCTGTGGCGGTAGGACGATGGGCACACGCAGAGGGACAGGCCGGCCTCGCAGCTCCTCCCAGACCCCCGCGGACCATCTTTCTTGCCACCCTGCACCTGGGGCCGACTGGTTGGGCACCTTCTCAGGGACAGGCCCTTCTGAGTCTGAGGGTACCCTCCCTCAGCCCTGGGGTCCCCTTCACTGCTTTCTCTCCACCTTCACCCTTGCTCCCCAATCACGTGGACTGTTGTAGTTCAAGTTCCTCTGTTTAAATGACTGGCTGGACCCAGACCGGCACCGTTGCCTCCTGTGTTCTCCCAGGCTTTGGGATGCTGATATCCTTGATATTTACATCTTGAACCCATCCTGGGCAGCGTGTGTTAAAGCTCTGACTTCGTACTTTCCCAGGGGGCTCGTGCACTGTCCCCAAACCTCCCGTGTGTCTCTGCATTGACCGTCTGTCGTGTGCACCACACATCACGACTCTCAGGATTTCTGGACACCCCACTCTGTTCCGCTGAGGTTCTGTCTGTTCCTGAGCCACAAGTCTAGAGCCCGTAGCTTCATAACACACCACTTGCCAGACCCCCTCTCATGTCTGTGTTCCGAGAGGACATCTCAACAACCACCACCCACTCCCTTTCTCCCCAACATAGATGATCTCGGTCCACAACAACATTTAAAGATAGCAATACAAAGACCGACGTCCTGGAAAACTAAAAATTCTAACTTCCCAGGAGCAGAAAGGAATAAATGAAGGTGCGCGACGGTTGGGGATTATCCCCAAGAGCCTGCTGTATAAAACCCGACGTGTTGTGCACCTTCCCAAGCCACGGCTCTTGCACCCAAAACACACATGACGACTACTTATTTTAATTTGCAGACTTAACGTCCCAAATGCAGCTTCAAACCAGGAAATGATGCACCGAGACTGGTTTGGAACAACAGGAGCAGCCCCCTCCGCTCTGCAGAGAACGGGACAGGGCAAAGCGGCAGAAGCCCCATCGTGGAATCGCACATGGGAGCCTCACTCTCACCCTCACCCTCCTCCAGAGGCCTGTATCGTCCTTCTCTCCTCCTTCACTGGTTACTCAGAAGATGTGGGGTCTTCCCCTCCCGGCCAGGGCTAACCGGCCCTCCCCGTGCTCTTGACCTCAGGCTGCCACCTGTGGGGGGTGGACCCTGGGCATATATATCCTGCGGGTTCTGTTTCTCTGGGGAATCCCGATGGGTCCATAGGCTGTGAGGTTACGTTTCTTCAAAGTTCATCCTGTTAGACAACAGTAAGGTTTGGACACTCATTTTTCAGGCTCAATTAGACTTTCATTTTTTGGTGGGAGTATAAGGGAAAAAAACCACATCACCTCTAAGTTAATATTTAAATGTGTTCATTTTATTTGGCACTCCTTGAATAAAGAGATTCTTCTTTATAGAAAATAGTGATTCTATTTTATTTTTCCTCCCAGTGGCGGGGTGAGTGGATGTCCCCTCAGGCGGTCTTGGCTTCTCAGTTCCGGCTCCATTTCCCCTTGTGGTGTTTGGCTCCTTTGAACAAACGCCTGTGCTTCTGCAGTCCTTGCTTGAGAGTGTTGCCTGTTTGGAAAGAGGAGATGTTCTTGAGAAATCCTCTGTGTTCCTAGGAAGCTGGTTTCACACCCTCCTGTGGTTCGCTCACACGGGTGTGTACTGGGCCGAGCCCTGGGCTGAGAGACTGAGGGGCACCTGACCTACCACAAGAGACTTCCTCAGGGTCGTCCCGGGTGTGGCCCTCCCCCAGGTCCAGGGCGGTGGGAATGTGTGTGGGCACCTCAGTCTGCCTCCGGCACTCCCGTGGGACAGGTGCTCTGAGCACCCCACTTAAGAGAACAAAGAAGCTGAGGCTTAGGATGTGCTGTCCCCTGCCCTGGGTCACCCTAAGTCGACACAGCTTTTTGGGAGTCAGTTGGGGATCTGAACCCAGGTCAGGCCGACTCCAAATCCTGCACTCTGAGCTGCTGTCCAGCCCGTGGCAGGGAGCCTGACCCTATGTGCACTGAGTGTGCACATAGATGAGCCACTCAGTGAGGGGGACTGTCCTCAGTTTCCCAAAGGAGCCATGAGAGGAGGGAGTCCGGGTGGGGGGAATGGGCTTGCAGAGATGCAGAGGACAGCAGGGGGCAAGCCAGAGCCCCGAGAGGTCAGGGCGAACTCGGAGGCACTGTTTGCAGGAGGGAGAGGGGGAAGGTGTGGGTTCGGGTGAGGGTGGCAGTGGGCCAGGTGGGGAGAGCCCTGGCAGGATCTTGGGGAGCCCAGGCCAGGATGCAGAGAGGGGAGGAGCTGTGGGGAGGCGGTCGCGGAGGGAGGACCGGGTGGGGGCCAGGCCGCACCCTTTAATGCCTCACTGCCACGGCCTTCTGCCTCCAAACCAAGTGGGGGCCCCTCTGAACACTACTGGGCTGGGCTGGGGGTGTCCCCTCCCCTCGGGGGCACCCCCTGTGGACGCAGTCCTGTTATGTCAGGCTCTGGGAGGTCAAGGACCTCGGTCCCTCCTGTGCACGCACTGCTGGGCCCCCAGCCCTGGCACCAGAGGAGTGCCCGCCACCCATCCCCCAGACAGGCAGGCCCAGGGCCAACGTGCAGGACGTGCAACGTGGAAAGGTCCTGCCTCAGACACTGGAGCCATAGGGATGTTCCTGTTTTCAACGACAGAACTCTCAGGGCCCAGGGACTGGGGATTTGGCAAAGTCCCCCTGACATCTGACTAAAGCAGCAGAAAGTGGCTGGATGTCAGTACCGGTCGGTAAGTTTGTGGCGGGCGGGGCAACCGCTCACCCCCCTTTCAACCCCTGACTGCACTGGGCTGTCCCACTGGGGGGAGGTGCAGACTGTGGGGGGCCTGCAATTTCGGGGCCCCAGGGCTGGCTCTGGCCCCGCACAGAGTGGCTCCTGGCTGCTTGGTGACCAGTCACACAATGCGAGGTCTCTAGTGACCCATCTGTGGTTCCACCCTGCTGGGCGTTTAAACAAAGGACAAAATAGCAGGCTGGCTGCAAGAGGATGACGGGGGTGGGGGGGGGGGGGGGGGGGGGGGGTTTGAAGGAGCGGCTGACCGCAAGACGCCGGACCCAGAAGTGTCCCAGCAGGCTGGAGCGGAGGGCGATCTAACCTTCCCCTGGAATGTGGGCGCCTCGAGGGCAGGGGTCCGTGTCCACGGTGCTCAGTCCCCAGAACTGGGAAGGGTGTGGGCCCGTGGTAGGTGCCCAGTGAGCACTGATGGAGGCAAATGAAGGTGGCCAGGTGTAAGTGTTTGGTCCTGCACTTGGCTCTACGAGGACCCAACTAATGGGGCTGCACCGAGGCCCGTTTACAAACCCCCGGAAGTCTTCGCTAACACTAGCTTGAAATGTGGGCGTGATGCGCCCCCAAACCCGGCGGTCTCAGGTTGCGTGGACCGGTGTGTGGTAGAAAGAACGCAGGAGGTGCTGATTCGAACCGTCTACGGGACTACAGAGTCTACCTGGGAGAGGCCAGGAGGAGGACTGGCCTGGAGAAGAGGCTCAGGAGTGTTCTGGAAAGTTCCAGGAAGAAGCATGGGGCCGGGGCAGAAGCCACCAGAGGAAATTCGTGGACCAACTTCAGCGATTAGGAAGTTGTCTGAAAGGGCAGGGGTGGGAGGAGTGGGGAGGGTGGAGGGCGGGGGTGCTCAAAGGTGTGGGACTCCCCGGGTGGGAGGCTTGGGGACTTTGTGGGCCTGGTCCTGTGGCATGTGGTGGTGGGCCCACAGGTCCCAGGGACAGCTGAGAAGGGAGGGGACACCCACACGTGGCCCAGGACTCGTGGAATTTGGACTCAATGGGCCAGGAGTCCTGCACTGACAACACAGGAAACCCGCGGGGGTCCCTGCCAGTCTGCCCAGGGACTGAGTCACCTGCCCCTCCAGAGAGCTGTCCCCTGGAGCAGACGGTTTACTTCTCTCCACGGCGGGGGCAGGAGCAGCCGTCCTCCACACTTATCTGTCACCAAGATGGCCCCAAGTTCCGTTTACCTAAAGCTCTTCGAAGGCCGTCAATGATTTTTTCCAGAACTGATTGGCTTTTAATCTGATAAAGTGTCTCTTTCTCCTCTTCTGTGGGAAAAATTAAGCACAACGATCAAGATTTAACACACAACTGTGGTCTAATTCCAAACTCCTGTTTTTCCTTTCAACCAGGCTGTCTGGAGCTCAGCTGGGGCTCTGGGCCTGTCCCCTGCACTGCCTCCTCAGGGCCCATGGCCCCGTGGTTCGTGGCCCTGCATGGACCTTTCATTCCCTCCCGTCAGCTCAGAAAGGGGCCGGGATGGTCAACACACACACTCCGTCTGTTCGTCAACCAGCTCACAATGGGGCTGCATGTGCCGCTTTCCTTTACCATCCCCCATGCCGTGCAATGTCTCTTAGCACGTGACAGGTGTCATCACGAAGTCAAACGTAAGACTGTGCTACAGGAGGTCAGCCATTGGGAAGAGGAGAAATTCCACTGGCAGTCCCACCATGGCGCTTAGTGGGAGAGAAGGGCTCCAGCCCAGGAAGGAGAGCCCGTCAGTTTCCCAGAGGTGCCCTGCGGTGGCGGCCAGAATTTCACATTAGAGATTCATTCCTTGGAGCCTACTTTAAACCCGCTTTGCCGCGCTGTCCCCAGGTGTGGCGTAGGAGGACGACGTTGTGGTGTCTATATTTTTTCGTCTCTGGGGCAGTCGGTGGTGGAGCTCAGCATAGCCCTGAGCAATGAGTCCTCAACCCATGGGGTTGCTTGACTGCCCCGCTGAGAGACCGCCCGTGTGCCCGCCGGGGGCGGGGGCTGGAGCTCCGGGAAATGCCTCGCCTGTGGCCACAGGCCCAGGATGCACACCTGCTCCCAGGGGGGACTGCGTGTTGCGTGGGCTTGGAGAGAAGGGACGCCTGGGGGTGCCCAGCTACGCTGAGCTGCAGGGGCCCCGAAAGTTTCCCGGGAGCGGGTATCGGACCGTCTTTGATCTGCACGGTCATTTCTAGTGGCTCAGCCTAAGACCCTAGTCCTCAGGGAGGTGTTCTGATAGGACGCTGTCACGCATGCTCCTGGAGGGGCCACCCCAGCGTGGCAGGGCCCCACTGAGGCTCGTGGAGACCACCTGCCATGTGTCCCACTGTGGGAGTTACAAGGCATGTCCCCACCTTCCCGCATGGGACCCTCCACCTGCTCCCCGCTGAGACAGCAGGGTGAAGGAGACCACAGCCGCAGGCCATCTGGGGCAGGTGGGGCAGAACCCGGGCTGTCCCAGGTCCCCCTCCTTTTCCAGCTCCTTGCGTCCCAGTGATGCCCCTGGGCAGAGGGGTTGGGGGCACAGCGACCTTGCGTAGCCCATCTATGCAGGTGCTGTTGCTGTGATTTGAAAGGAGACTTTCAGAGTCCCCCCTCTCTCTGGCTTCCCAGGATGAGTGGTGGGGCTCCCCTCTCGCCCACCGTCACCCCCACTCCCAGCCTTCCCTGCTGGGGGCCCTGGTGCCCCTATGCTTCCCTCTCCTTCATTCCCTCTGTCCCATTGGTTGCCAACATCTTAAGAAACTTTCCTACAGGGAGGAAGAGAAATCAGATGAATTCTGATGTTTGTAACATGTGGGTATTCTAAGTGGGGAGCCCTGCCTGGGCCCGAGGGTGCTGTGGCTCCCGGGCGGGCAGGTGGCCTTCGTCCTGCTCCTGGGCCATGGGGTGGACTCTGGGCGTGCAGCCAAAGGGCCCCCGAGGCCGGTTCGTTTCCTGGGAGGTGTGGTGGCTGCAGATTTTCAAACCACCTGCCAAGTGTGGCTGGTGGACCTGAGAGTCAGCCCCACCCGACCTGGGCCCCGGCCCAGCCCTCTGCCCAAAGGGCCGGAGCTCCACCATTAGAGATCCATTCCTTTGAAAGACTCCCCTTGCCAAACTTTGCCTGCTCAAACACTACTGAGCAGCAACAGAACAGCCCCCTGCATGTTGGGGGCCAATGGCAGCCATCCTAGGCCATTGTGGGACACACCACTGACCTGACAATCAGACTCAGAATGATCCCGTGTGTTCCTTATTCCCCGGGGAGGAGACAACTGAAGTACCTAAGTGTCCCAGTGAGGTCATTGGTTGAAAGGGGAAAAGGGAAGAGGAGGGCCCCAAGAAAAGGAGGGCACACGCACAGAAAAGGACATTAAAGCTGTTGATGTTATCCCAGAGACGATGACAGATTTCAGGAGGTGGGCACGGCCCAGGACAGGCAGCCTGAGCCTGAACAGGCCGCCGCCTCCACCTGGTCCACCTCCACTGTCGTGCGCTGGGACAGGGGCTGCCTAACCCTCCGGGTCGGCTTTCCCAGATCAAGCAGATGGCTCAGGCCTGAGGACAGAGGAGCTCGAGGTGAGGCGGTAAGGGTCAGGTGGGAGGTCACCGGGGAGGAAGGGTCACTTTATCCTGCCTCAGGCTGCATTTCTGTTAGCATTTCCTCGTGGCTGGAAGGTCTGCATTTCATGGAATTTAAAAAAGCAAAAACTCTACGTGGGAATTCCGGCGCCCTCTTGCTAGCGTGAGCCCCCCCCCCCCCAACCTTTGCACGAAGTCACACGGGAGCCACCTGAGGCTCCTGGAAAGAGATCACACGCAGGAGGTTGTGGAGGTGTGGATTTCACGCGTCTGTGTTTGTTGCCTTCCTGGCTTCGACCCGGGTGTCAGCCCAGTGCGCTGCGACGCAGTGGCAAGGGCCCCGGAGCTCTGAAAGAAACTCCATGTTTCTGGCCTCAGGGAGAGGAACTCCTGGGAGCAGAGCGTGCATGAGGGGGCTCGGGAGGGGAGAACGCCGGAAAGACGGCTTTCCTGATTGGGGGTGTGAAACCCCACCCGTCTCAGCCTCCCCCTTTAGCTGGTGGATACACAGGACCCTCAAACCAGCAGAGAAGAGACAGACTCAAACCACCACTCCCAAATGGCAAGATCAAGTACACTGTGGAAGCCTAACCAGGTGGGATGGCTTGCTAAAATAAGAACAGCGTAATACTTACAATGCCCAGGAATAAACACGCCATAATTCAATGTATAGAGAATCAGAAAAATATCACCAAATTTCAAGGGAAAATGTAATTGACAATACCAGCTTCTAGATGACTCAGATGTAGAATTATAGGCAAAGACTTTAAAGCAGCTATTATAAACATGCTCCATGAGGTATAGAAAAGCACTAGAAGTGAGTGAAAAGATATTCTCTGAGAATAGCAGGGAAATAACTATGGTAAAGAATCGAAGGAGAATTACAGAGCTAAGATATACAACACCTGAAATGGAAATTTTACTGATGCGCTCAACAGTAGACAGAGATACTGTGGAGGAGCGAGAGAGAGAAGTTATACAAATGGAAAGGGAAAGGAAAATATGTAAATAATGAACAGAGTCTCAAAGACCCACGGGACAACATCACAAGGTATAATGCATGTGTGTAATTTGAGTCCTGGAAGAGTAAGAGAAAAATTTTGGAGCAGAAAAAATGTTTAAAGAAAAATATCCAAATAGTCATATAGATATTTAAATTTTTTAATTTATCAGAAACTTTTCCAAAAGATGCAAAGTAATGGTTTTACTGGTGAATTCTATCAAACATACAAGGAAGAAATGATACCAACCTTACTCAAACTTTTACAGGAAATAAGAGGCATTACTGCCTGACTCATTAAGTGGGGTTAGCTTAACTTTAACCAGAATTTGACAGTAATGTTACAAAAAAAATAAATGAAAAAAATTACAAACCAATATTTCTTATGAACATAGATGCAAAACCCTTAGCGATATTTGGACATAGGTGAAAAATACTGAGCAAATATTTGCAAGTTAAGTAGCACAAAACTGAAAAGGATAATACGTCATGGCCAAGTAGGTCTTATCCCAGGAATGCAAGGTTGGTTTAGCATCTAAAAATCAATGTAATTCACGATTGTAACATAATAAAGAAAAAGAAGTGTCCAATCATTTAAATATATGCAGAAAAAGTGTTGGACAAAAGCCATAATAAAACCCCTCAGCAAAATAAGAAGTGAGAAACTTTCTCAGGCAGATGACGTGCATTTACGAGAAACCTACAGCCAACCTCATTCTTAATGAGAAAGGACTGAACTGCTTCCTCCTGAGGCCTGGAAGGTGAAGGCGCTCCCTTTCTCCACTTCTTTTTTTTTTTTTTTTTTAATTTTTTTTTTCAATCTCCACTTCTTTTTAAGACCTTACTCCTATAGTATCGGTGTGAGTCAGGGGTCCAAGACAGTTTCTAGTTCATTTCCGCGTGGCCCCCAGCAGAAGCCGGTCATCACATACACACCTCCACCTGCCCCCAGAGCAAGCGCTTGCTCTGGTCTCCTGTCCCGCTCCCTGTCCCAGGTGAGCCCTGTGGAAAAGAGCTGAAGAACAGAATTAAGATCCTGAGTCTGGGGCCCAGCTACGCAAAACTGACCTACAGCCCACACTTGGCCTTTAAGAATTAGCAAAACATTGGCTGATTTCTTCTTACCCACTTGCATGGTGGCCACCTGTCTTTCCCATGCTCCGTCAAAGCTGACACGGGCCTGTGTCCCGTCCCTCCATGGAGATGCTCATCCCTTGTGGGAATTCAACCCACCTGGTCGCCTTTTGACTTCGGCTCTCTGCTGGGCTCAAGAGAAGTCGTGGTTTTGTTGGTTATTTGCCTTTCTGTCATTGTTAGGGTGCGAACAATGTTCTTGGCAGCTTTCTTCCTAAATAGAAAAGTCCTAATGTGTGCTTATTCTATACTTTGAGGTTGCTCTGTTACGTGCTATTTTTAGTGTGTGTGTCTCCTCACACGTTCCGCAGGTGAACCGGAGGCTCACCTCTGGGAGGGCAGTGGGCTAAGAACATCACATGCAGCCCGGTGGAGGGTATGTTCCTTTGCTTCTACCAAGCATCTCAGCAGTGTCAATGCCAGACCCTAAAACTATGTTTCTCAGCCTGATGTGCGGAAAGGACTGATTCAAACCATAACCCCCCATGAGCCTGTGTTTATAAATTTTCAGGCAGTGTCAATAGGCAGTTGACTAACTGGAGGAAGATAGATATTAGTGACATACATTGCAGACAAAAGACTAATATCCTTAACATATAAAGAATTCTTAAAAACTAAGATATAGGGGCACCTGGGTGGCTCAGTTGGTTAAGGGTCCAACTTCGACTCAGGTCATGATCTCACAGTTTGTGAGTTTGAGCCCCATGTTGGGCTTTGTGCTGACAGTGTGGAACCTGCTTGGGATTCTCTCTCTCCCTCTCTCTCTGCCCCTCCTCTGCTCTTTCTCTCTCAAAAATAAATAAACATTAAAAAAATTAAGGTATAGAAAAATGAGAAAAAGGTATGAACAGATCACAAAAATACATTAAAATGACCCATAAACAGGGGCACCTGGGCTCAGTTGGTTAAGCATTGGACTTTGGCTCAGGTCATGATCTCGTGGTCTGGGGTTTAAGCCCCACATCAGACCCTGTGCTAATAACTCAAAGCCTGGAGCCTGCTTTGGATTCTGTGTCTCCCTCTTTCTCTGTTCCTCCCCGACTCACGCTGTCTCTCTCTCTCTCAAAAATAAATAAATATTTTTTAAAAATGACCCATAAACATTTGAGAAGCTGTTCCAACTCATTTATCTGATCGTCAAAGTTGTAAAAGTAGGAAGACTTACTGTCACCAAGGCTGCAGGGGAACAGGCCCTCACACACACCGCCGGTGGGAGCACAAACGGGCACAGCCTCCTGTGGGTTATTGGTGGTTCAAATGTGACCACATACACACTCCTGATTTCACTCAGCAGACCATGTGTAGACGTCTACCCTGAAGATGCACATCCAACAACATGAAAAGACATGTGTGAAGCGTACCCACTGCAGCACTGTTGGAGAAGTGTTGGAAACAACCTGAAAGCCCATGGGCAGGAGAGCGGTTGGATAAGCTGTACTCTGTCCACACAATGCAGATCTAGACAAGTGTAAAAACCAGGAATGAGGAAGCTTCTGTAAACAGACGTGGAATAATTTATAGCACAGATTGTTAGGTTAAGAGAGGGAAGTGCCAGATATCCATACTGTGCTACCTTTCACGCACAGGAAAAGAGTTATAAGAAAATACACATGATCAGACCTCAGTGAAGTGGCTTAAAAACATTTAACACACGATATAAAACAGTAAACTGAGTAATCTTTTACCAAAAAAGGGTCATATACATGTACCTGCTCATTTGTGCCCAAGGAAGCACGGGAAGGATAAGGCAGGGAATGATGAGGCTGATCCCTGTGGGACGTGAGGCAGCGGGTGGACAGAAGCAGGGTGGCACCAATGTTAGGGGCACAGCGGAAGTGGAATTCTTAGATGCAAGACTTTTGGTATTAGAATCATGGCTATATACTTCAAAAGAAGGAAGTGACATCAACCACAATGAAAAGGGACCCAAAGCAGAATAGTACAAGTCAGTAACTAGGAGGGTTGACGAGGAAGTTTGGAAGGAAGTACCTGACGACATATTCTAAGGCTTAACATGAAAGGCGGTATACAAATCTTGCCTGCTAGTTAGTAAATCTGTTTTTCGCAGGGTGGGGCTACACCAGCAATTCTTGGGCTACTTCTGTGTTTTCTGGGACTGAGCAAATGCACGGACTCTGGTGGGACAGGAGGCCCAGGATTCTCACAGACAAAAGGAAGGAGGTAGGATGAGCCTCACGGGCAGGTCTGGGACCAGTGGAATGAGTCTGAATTCAGGATGCCCAACATCTGAGCGGATAGGTGTGGAAACACAGATATGTGCCCACACACATCTGTCTTGGCTCTGTCCACTGGGGGGCCTGGAAACAACACCCCACCAGAGCAGCAAACACATCCAACTCTGACTTTGGCTTCTAACTACCCCTCTCCAGCATGGGGGAGCAGGGCTCTATGCAGACCTGGCTGCTCCCAGGGCTGGGGCAGGGAAAGTGTGCAAGAGCAATGCCAATGTGTCGAGCTCCAAATAAGAAAACCAAAGAAACAAAATGCACAATGGTAGTGGTTTGTAACTCATTGAATAAAGTAAAGACCAGTATGTTACACGGATCTAAACATAATGGAATCAACAAGTAGATAAGGTCCTTTTAAGAAAGTACAGCTCTTCCTTGCAAATGTAGAAGGAATGGTAGAACTAGAAAATCACCTTTTGGCAAATACTATAGTGATAATTCTTGCAGTTAAGAGGTGATGGATGCTGGGGCGCCTGGGGGGGCTCAGTCGGTTCAATGGCTGCCTCTTGATTTGGGCTCATGTCATGATCTCATGTTTCATGGGATTGAGCCCCATGTTGGGCTCTGCTCGGAGGATGGAACCTGCTTGGGATTCTCTCTCTCTCTCCCTCCCCCGTCCACACGCATGTATGCATGAGTGTGTGCTCTCTCTCTCTCAAAATAAATAAACAATTTTTAAAAAGGAACAATGGATGCTAAATTAGTGGTGAAAATATGGTGAAAAGCAGGGTATTTTTACAGTCTGAAAGTATCTCCCCCCAAAATACTAATTGTTTACACATGGAAAAAAAAATCAAGTTGATTATGGAGACACCGGGTATACAGTACCTTGAATAAGTGATCAAAGTGAACACCCCCCACCCCGGGTAATGAGATAGTCTACATCATGCACATCCTCATGGGACACACGAAGGAAGACATAACATCACTTCTTTAACATTCTTGCCCCGAAGGCAACCTGAATCTAGTCGTGGGGAGAATTCAGACAAACCCAAATTGAAAGAGATTGTATTAAGTAGCTGGCCAGTACTCCCCAAAGTCATGAAAGACAGAGACCGGGTAACCCCCCAGGCGGGAACGACAGATGTGACGTCACCGGTAGCTGCCATGAGGAATCTGAATGGATCCTGGAGCCAAAAAATGGCATTGGGAAGATAATTGACAAAATTTGGACCAGGTCTGTAGGTTACCGGGCAGGACTGCATCAGCGTGGACTTCCCGGTTTTAGTAATTGTACTCGAGTTACGTAAGACGTTACCACCGGGGAAAGCTGGGTGGAAGGAACACGGGAAACTCTACCACTTTCCTAGGTTGTAAGTCTAAACTGGTTTCACAATGGAGCCGTTTTAGACGTTGCATCCTGCACGTTTCACCCATCCCGTCGCTTTCCTGTTACCAGACACATGAGCCTCGCTCCCGCACATGCCACGGCAGCACCCGCCTCCCTGTACAAGTCGCCAGAGACAGTCGCCCGTCTGCACCAGTTTGCAAACAGAGATCTTTATTGAGGTGGACCATCATTAAGTTTGCTGAGAACGTGGCACTCCGGGCGCTCAGCGGTTTGGGTCTTGTCCCCTGGGTGGGTAGTGAGGGCGCCTTAGGTCCGGGGTGGTGGGGGTGGGTGGGGGGAGACAGCTATGGTGTCCCCCCACCCCAAAGAGGACAGTGCTCCTCCAGGGATGGCTGGCTCAGAGACTCTTCTGCACCCAGTGGAAATGTCCCTCCTAGGCTGACCGGCGGGTCTGGCACCACGCCTTCTTGCCCCCTCAGTCAGTCCTGCCTGGGGCTGGCTCCCAATCTACCTCCAGCCTGCCACCTGATACGGGCAGTCTCTGAGCCGAGCCGTGCCTCAGTTTCTTCATCGGAACAGCACTCTCGAGCCTAGGGGGGCACAGACAACTTCTGCCGCACGAAGCTGTTGCTGACACAGGGAGAAGGCCTTTATGTTAAACGGTGGCGTTTGCCTGGAACCCGGGGAAGGCTGGGGTGCGTCCCAGCAGCAGAGGGGCGGTGTGGGGAGGGTGGGGTTCTCTGCCGAGCCCTCAGGCGAGTTTCAGGGTGCAGCCCGGGATGGGCACAGGGGTGGCCTGCAGCGTCGCCTGCAGCTGTCCGTGCATGCACCATGAGTCTGGGAATTGCACGGTCTCTCTGAGGGTGGGCCTGGGCCCCAGGACCCTGGAGGGCTGGTGGCTTCTCTGATGCCCCCACCCCAGACTCAGTCCCTTCCCCCTGGCTCTCATTCTCACTGGCTCAGGTTTTCCTGTCCATTCTTATCTCCTCCTGCTTCTCCAGTGAGCCTGATGGGTGTGATGCAGGGAGAGTGTGTCCCTGAAGCTGCTCCAGGTCACGGTGGTCCTTCAGTGGAGACACACCCATCCTTCAGTATAGACCCTTCCTTAACTTCTCCTATCTGTAGCCCCCCTGCAACAAAGGCTTCTGGCTGTATTCATGCCCATTAGGCACTTTGAGTCAGTCAGTGGGTGGGACAACCCCAGAGGGGCTAGAAATGATCCTTGTCATGAAAATCCTACTCTCGTTCTATCCTTCCAAACACCAGAGGCTGGCTCCCTGGGGAAGAGTCTCTGTGGAATGGACTGAAATGTAGGTTTCAGGGCCCGGCCTGCAGATATGCTCAGCTCCCCTCCACTGTGCCTGGTACACAGGACCTGGTCCCTCCTCTAGGGCCCGCCACAACCCTTCACGGGCCAGGCATCCCGCGAGCTACATGGGCACCTTTCTTTTGCGTCATCTTTAGGGTGAGGAAAAGATCTGTCACCCCGTGGGGGGCTAGCTCCTCAGCCTCAGTGCCTGAACACTGGAGTTCATTTCAGCAACCATGGCCGTTGGAGGGACACTTTCCCTCACTCCGGGGGAACCTCCCTGGTGGCGGGGGCGACGCTGGCTCTCCCTGCCCAGCCCCTGACCCCCAGGGAGGGGCAGGTACCCAGCTGACGTGTGGGAGGGGCGGGCAGTGTGGCGGCCCTTCCTCCCGGCTAGCGGCCACCCGCCTGCCGGGACCTTCCTGCCAGGCTCTGCTTCTCCAGGGTCAGGACCACGGGCAGGGGTGGTGGGCAGGCGGTTCGTCGACGGAGACGGGAAATCAGCCCCGCTGGGGTGAAGCAGCCTCAAGCTCTCTCCAGCCACGCTTTCATCCTCTGTGACGGGGACGTCCCCGTGTACATCTGCCTGGCTCCTCTGTCCTCCCCACCACCTTCTCCTAAGGCAGGGGCATTACCGGGTTGCATTTACCATCAAAGAAAGGCCTTTTTTCTTTCCCAGAAGAGAATTTCTTTTTATGATGCTTCTTATTAATATCCATCTTATAATCCGTTTGAGTATAGGTTTCTTTGATGAAGACCATGAAAAAATAAGGAAAAGATTTTTTGGTTACATACACGTGAACATTTGGGTCCACACTGTATCTTACGGAATGCTAACGGTTGTCAAGGTCTACTGAGAACGTGCCTTGGAAAGTTGACATGTACCGGAGTCAGGCGTCATCTGACCGCCTTGAACCCAGCAGTTTGGGCCCCAGCAGATGCTGGGTGGTGTTCGTCCCAGGAACCGGAATTCACATCTGGGCGCACAATTGCAAGAAAGTGCTGAACTTCTCGGCTGCTGAATGCAGTTCACGCACTGCTTGTGGATTTCTGCTCCGGGCCTCCCCTTAGCAACTGTCAGCCAAGTACTGGGTCTTGGTTCTCAGCGAGATGTTTCACTGATCGACACGCACCCCGGACACCACGGAACCGCCCTTTGGAAAAGCGCCTTCTCTCCCCACGTTCACTACTAGCGGTGTGGCCTCGGGCAGGTTCTTCAGACCTTTGTTCTGTCCCGCGTGCAATGGGGTCAATGTCACTGCCCGCGCTCTCAGAACGCTTAGGTACGTGTCAGTGAGCGGGTGGTCGCAAGTCCCCGTTTCCATGTGTCCCCCCCATTCCTGCAGTGGCTAAGCCGCCTTTGCATCCTGAGCACAAGAACCTGCTTGCGTGTGCACCCCCGAGACCACCCCAAAATAAGAGGAACTCGTCTCCGCCAGCCTCGGCTTGGCCGCCTCAATCTCAGGAAGGTTACAGAGAAGGTTCCGGACACCTGTTTCTTGCACACCGCCATTTGCTTTTGCCCCAGAAGTAAGTTGGCCTTAAAGAATGTAAACTGGTAGGATTGTGTCTTCACAACCACAGACCTCTAGGAGTACACGCAATCACAGGTGTAAAAAACGTATACTTGCTTTTTTTCTTCATAATCGTTGTTGATTTTGGTAGTGGTCTTTGTGTCATAAGCAATGATGAATTACTTGGATCCAATATCTCTTGGACTAGAATTTCATCTTGGGAAAAGCACATAAGGACACGTCAGAACCAGTGGAGCAGGACAGGTACCCTCTTGTTCTACCTGGACCGAAGGCAGTCTGTGAAGCGGGACTAGAAACCGGAACTCAAGGGGCACCGTGGAGATGGACGGGGGTGAGCTCTCTAAAGAGCCCTGTCTGGGGTGGGAGACCACTGACCCCCTCAGCAGCTCCTGAAAACCTGAGGGCGTCCAGATGCCCTGGACAATAAACTTTGTTCCCCAAAGACACGAGGCTAGAAAGCCTGGCCCAGGTGCCGTCCCACCTCTACTCTCTGCCCCTCTCCTTCTGTCCCTCTGAGACTTTCCCCAAGCCGTCCCCTTGGAGGCACACGGTCTTTCCCGATTTCTGCAGAATGCAGCATTGTTTTCTCTCTCCCTCTACGTCTCCCTGACAGCTCCCAGGAAGCTTCTAACGTAAGTGCACTGGGCTTTGCGTCAGACAGATGGGACCCACGTCCTGGTTTCGCTCTTACTGGATCACGACCCAGGCAGCTTCCACTTGGATCCACAGTTTTCTCCTCTGTAAAATGGGTCTGTTTTATCTCATCAGGCGTGTTATGAGGTTCACATAAAGCCGTGTATGTGGAAAGCCCTTAGTACAGTCGGGGACTGAGGTGGAGGCCTCCCTCAGGGCTCCCCTAAGCTGTCTGTCCCCCTGCTTGCACCTCCCCCCAGCTGTCCTGGGCCAGCACCTCCCCCAGGCCCTCCCCCAACCCTTCCCACTCCTCCCACCCCCTCCACCCCCTCCACCCCCCAAGCTGTCCTGGGCTAGCACCTCCCCCAGGGTCCCTGTCCCCAACCACCTCCTTTCTACCTTGAGCTCTCCCCGCCCCACCCACCTGAGTCTCTGCCACATGCACATGGTGGTGGCCTGGCAGACGCCCTGCTACAGGGAACTCTGAATGGGCAGCCCCTGCTGTTCTCACGTGGTGGCCTCACTTATTTCCAGAGACACGGATGTCTTACTCTCCCGTCCCCACTCGGGAGAAATGTGGGTGGGTGGAGTGGGAGCCTCAGCTCCCCTTCTAGGCTTAGTTGATCAGAAATCCCAGTGACTCATCCTTTCTTTCTCCACAGTGGCTGGGACTTTGGGGGGTCGGCCCATGGGATGGAGGGGGTGCTGGTGTCAGGACTATCGTCCTGCGGGGCCCGGGACGGTCAGAGCCCCCAGGAAACTTGGGAGCGTTTGTCTCCACCGCTCGGGGACCTGCTGGTGCCCCGTTCTTGCTGGAAAGTTCACCTGACGAGGCCTCGCCCTTCCAGGTCTGGCTAAGCTCACACCTGTGTGGGGCCACAGGCGTGTGATTGTAGCTTCAAACCAAATCGCATGTCTCCACCTTGTGTGATGAGCCACCCCTCCAAATACAGACCAGACATTTGATACAAGGAGTTTCCTTACCAAATAGTGCAGCCACGTTGTCATCAAAATTTTTTAAATTTGGTGGCAGTACCGTACGTGGACCTAGAAAAGAAATAGAAAAGTTAACAGTTTAACAATTCGTTGAATTTGCACTGATCTCTCTCTCTGCGGCGCCCACCAGCCCGCTGCAGGGGGGAGAGGCCTGCAAGGGGTTCCCAGGACTGGGTTCTCATCCGGAAAGTGGCGGGCAAGGCGGCCGTGTGGTGGAGGGACGTGCCCTGTGCTCTGACTCCTGCCGCGTGGGGCAGTGCTCGCTGGCACCGTCCCTCGGAAGGGAACACGCGTCCTGGCACCTGGGATGACTGCCCTTGCGCGTGCTCCGCGGACAGCCAACCAAGAGGGACGCGCACGTCCTTTCTGGAGGGCTCCAGAGGCCGGTGCCTCTGGGAGCTTAGGGACGTGATTTGGGGAACGGTGGGGGTTCTCTGGTCGGGAGGGGTCCCAGAGAGACTCCCCTTCAGAAGCAGAGTGATTCCAGGTGGTCTGTTTGCAGGGAAGGCACGGGGTCTCAGGGGTGAGCCGGCCGGGCCAGACGGCAGACTTCCGTGGGATCCCTGGACGCCCGACCCCCAGCCTCCCCGGCCTCGCTGGGGGCCCGGCAGTGCATGGAGTGAGGGTTTCGGCACGGCGGCACCAGCCGGGGGCTCCCTACTACTCCTTTTGCTCAGAGCTGGGTGTCCTCGTCCATTTCCTCGACTCAGGGTCAAGGTCAGCCTCCCCTCCCGCCCCCGGGGAGGGGAGAGGGCACGCCCGGGACCCGCTGGGCAGCGCCACCTTGCCCGGCTGCACAGAGCTCGCAGGCGTCTGCAGACTCTCGTTCCAACAGTAAACCAGTGACGACGCTGATTTTCAAATGGTTTTAATGACGGACAATCTGCATACCAATGGCCTCATCTGCACGCGGGGCTTAGAACAATGCGGAAATCTCTGCAAGGAGGTCTGCACGGAGATGACAATCGCTTCCCAGTGTGCTGACCTCCCGGCAACGAGGCAAACAAAAGTACAGTTCGCCGAGGATGAGGCATTAATGAGTCATTAAGAATGGGCACAGCTGCGTCGAGCGAGCACTTTGTCAAAAATACTCTTTTCATTCTGTGTCTGTCCCGTGATTATAATGGGAGTATTGTGCCAGTCAGGCAGCAAGCGTGTGCAGAAAAATATTTATGCTCTAGAATACCCGCACGGTTTTCAAAGTGCATTGTCAACGGTGGCGGCTGTGGCGTGTTTCGCCTGTTGTCACCTCCGACTGACAGTCTCTCGGCTTCAAACCGCCGGGCGCCGGAGTTACCAGGATCCCTGACTACTCCTCCATATTTGCACAGTGCGCATCCCGGACACCGGGAAGGGCTCGCTGCTGACCTCTGTGGCTGTGCTCTGGTTAATTTGGGGAAAACAAGGCAAACCAGGCCCATGGCTGCCATTCCCGTCTCTCCTCGTGGTCAGGGCGACTCACGGCCAACGGCACCAGTGCCCTCGGAGGCGGTAAGCCCTCGGGGGATGGGGGACTTCAACCATCCCCGTTTTGACTGCAAACTTTCTAATAGATGAAGTTCTCATTTCCAGTTTCTCCCTTAACTCAAGCAAGACTCGGAGGGCAAAGCCTCCTCCGATGGGAATGGAAACTGCCTGAGCCGGCCGGAGCCCGCACGTGATGGACCCCATGACAATGATGCACATGACCCTTCCTGTCCATCCGCCTGTGCCCTGGCCTCTGTCCCACATCTCTGTAGATAAACCTGGAAGGGTCTTTGCATTTGGAGACAGTCTTGGGGATGCCAGTCCGCGCTGTCTTCTGGCTGTCGGCCTCACCGAAATGAACTCCTTTCTCGTGTCACCACCAGTGTCTCCACCTTTGGATTTTGTCAGCGGCCGGAGCTGGTCTGCTTGGGACCCCCGGAGACGGGTACTCCCGCGCCCCTGCGCCCCAGCCGCAAGCCCATAAGGAAACCCACTGTTTCCTTTCAGAAAATGATTTAGAGACTGCCCTCAACTGGTCTTTCAAGCCGGGAAGACCATGGCGGTCACCTAAGGGTGTCCCTGTCTGGACAGGAGACCAGGTTGGGGAGGGGCGGGCTGGCTTAGGGCTGGAGGAGTGCTCTGTCCCCGGGCGCTGGGAGCAACTCCCGAGGGCACTGGCCCATGACAGTCTGAGCAGGAAGGAGCAGCCTGGAGGGACGCGCCCTCCCATGGGGGACACACGGCCCCACCTGTTACAGCCCCGTCCGCACCCACGGCGTCGCAAAGGACACTGTCCTTGGGAAGCGCCTCAGAGCTCAGTTTGCTGAAGAAAAGGAAGTTGGGGATGTTCAGTCCTTTCAGGACCACCTGACTTCTGGCCCGACTGCAGCCAGCTGGCCCGTCCCCCCCTGGAACGTGTGGGCGTGGCAAGGGTGGGAGGGGACACAGAACCGGCTCGGGCAGCACCCATGGTCCTGCTCTCAGAGAAGCCTCCCAAACCCTGTGAGTGAGCCTTCAGGGTCCACTCGGCCATCCTTGGGAGCTGGGGCTGGGGGACCATCTCGGCCCCGTTCCTTCCATCTGTGGTGACCTGTGCGGCAGGTGTAAGAGTGGCCGGGTGGCCTGAGAATAGAGCTTCCTGGCAGGAAGTGGGGTAGGGGGGTCACGGAGCACCCCCTCCCTGCCGTCCTTTACTGGGGAGTCACAGAGTCCCATCCCGTCCCGGCCGGCCTGTCCCCGCTCGGATCCTCCATGCGGAAGGGGCCAGCATGGGAGGGCGGGGGCCAGAGGCACGCGGGGGCCGTCCTGGGTGTGATCGGCACCCTCCCTGACAAGGGCATTCGGGGACCATGGCGGATCGGGTGCAGCCGGGATGAGCTGCTGTGCAGGCTTCATTAATTTTGTCCGGGTCTTCACGACACTGGCGTGTAAGGGACAACCGCCTCACGTTAGCAAGAAAAGGTTTACATGAAGCAGTAAGACCATTTGGAAGGACTACGAGGTCCCGGGGACAGCAGCAGTGTGTGTGTGCAGGAAGTGCGGGGTGGCGGACGGTGGGGGGGCGGCAGGGTCTCTGTGCTGCCCCTTGACTTTCGGGAGGTTAGAAATTGTCTTTGTTTCCTTAGTTTAGGGGGAGAGGGAGAGAGAGAGAGAGAGAGTGCATGAGCAGGGGAGAGGGGCAGGGAGGGGAGAGAGAGAAAACCCCCAGCAGGCTCCACGCTCAGCACGGAGGCCAATGCGGGGCTGGATCCCATGACCCTGGGGTCAAGACCTGGGCCCAAATCAAGAGTCGGCCGCTCAACCGACTGAACCCCCAGGCGCCCTAGAAACCATCTGTGATAAAAAGTGAAAATACATCACATACGCTCCTTCCCCATGGGGTTCTGGAGTTTGAAAAGGACTTTCAAGGTAGAAGAGTGTTCAACTTGCTTCACTCTCTCCCAGAAATGGATGGGAAACTGGGGAGGTGGGGAGGGGCCTGACTCAGCCCCAGGGAGACGTGCGTTTCCCACGCACTCAACAGCCACCCACCTGTGACTGTACCTGAAATCGTGTTGATGGGCTGGGGCTCCGCGTGGCGCCAGCAGGACAGCAGCAGGACAAACAAGGTCACTCCTCTGTCTCCTGCCATGTTCCCTCCGGCTGAAGGAGGAAGACCATGCCCTGAAGACCTTGGTCTCCAGGATACCCTGGAATGTCCAGAGTCCTGTGACATCACGGCAGGAAGTACACAGGGTCCAGCCCCTTATGCAGGAGGGTGGTGTCCAGGGCCCTGTGACGTCACGCAGGAAGTGAGTGGCGTACTGCCCCGTGTGCGGGGAGGGCCGTGTCCGGGGACGTGTGACGTCAGGGCAGGAAGTGAACTAGGCCCTCCTGTGTACACAGAGGGTAGTGTCCATGGACCTGTGACGCTACGGCGGGAAGTGAACCGGATCCTGCCACGTGTGCCGGGAAGGGAGTGTCATGCTCAGGGTCTGTGCCCTGGGAAGGCGTGGGAGATTGGCTGGGCCTTGGGGAGCCCATCTACTTACACCTGTTTTGGGCTCCGCTTCCTTCTTCAGTCCTGCATATCCTTCATCTGTGTCCACCTCGCCCCTGGACGCCCGTTAGGAACGCATTCTCTGCGCCCAGCTCTGATCTCCTGAATTAGAATCTGAGTCTGCCCCAGATCCCAGGGAGATACCTGTGCACAAGAAATTTGGGAAGCCCTGGGCTACAGCGGTGGTCACTCTGGCCCTTGTAGGTGGAAGAAAGTATTCCTTGACTCTTTTGTGGTTCCTGGCTGTGTCTGAAAATGAAACCGAAAGTCACAGGTTAATAGAAGAAAGATTTATTCAAGATAGATTTCGTGTGAAGACACAAAGACACAGAAGACGGCATATGGAAATGAAGTCAAGAAGACAGTTTTGTAATGCCCCCGATTTCAAATCCGAGAGACCACCAAGGAGCCGATACCGATGCAAAAGCACGAGGGTTTATTTGCAAGCTCGAGCTTGGGCCCAAGTTTACCCGACACAGCAGAGCAGGGACTTGGACCCCTAGGTTAAGAGGCGTAGCGGATTTATAGGGGCCAGCGGCCAATGAGATTGTAACACACACAGAAAGTTGCATAGTCATGTCAGTCCACACGCAGGTGGCCAATTGAATTACAATTTACGCTATAGTAACTGTTTGAACTAGCCCATCACTCTGGTCAGAATTGGCACGCAAGTTTGGCGGGCAAAAGGCGGGGTTTAAGAATTGGCGTGCAAGTTTCGCGGGCAAAAGGCGGGGCTTACATTCTTTGGCGGTTAGGGGTTCGGCATTCCTATATGAGCCGGTTTCCAGTAAGGGTGTGCTCAGCGGCTTGACTAGGGTGGGGGAGTGTCTTAAGCAATAAGTAGGTCATGTGGGGGTTATACATGACATGGTGGGTGTAGCACAAAATGGAGTTAGTCTTGCTCTGCTTGTCCAGGGGTAGGGGATTTTTGTTAAATTCCTTGGGTCCCACGGTTTGTTGAGTGTTTTATGCTGGGTTGGATGAGGAGTGGGCAGTGCGGGAGGAACAGGACAGGTGTAGGCATGGGAGAGGTGTGACCCCTGGGAAACAGTGAGGCATGCTTGTTGGGGTTCTTGTTGGGCTTCCCTTGGTCTTCAGAGTTAGAGACACTCCTTTCCTCTGGGTGTAAGGAGGATGCTTCTCATATGACGTTCTTATGACCTGTTTTAGGGGGCAAGGGTGAGGCAGGTAGAGGTCAGACTGACCTACCTGCCTTGGCCATTTTCTCAAACTCCTTCAGCTGAAGTTAGTCAGTGTGCCAGAGTGACATAGTTTGGAGTGGTTTGTCCGGAGCCTCATCTTTCTCCCGTCTGAAACTTTCCCAAGGTTCACGTCCAGAGAAGATTGTCACATACCCATCGAACCAAGTCCTGGGTATTTGAATGGAAACAAAAACAAAGGTTAATGGTTAGAACAAACTACAGGCGGTTTCGGAGTCCAGCGGGCGGTCGTTGGAGATTTTCAGGCTTCGCACTCAAAGCATCTTCAGAAGGAGTGACGCCAGCTGCTGGCAATCTGACGGATTTTCCTGGCTTGTAGTTTTTAATCATCTCTGGTGATGTCATCAGATGTCCCAGTGAACACGAACTTTCTGACTGGCCCCCACAGCAGCAGATGGGAAGGCTGTCCAGACATGAGCTGTGTCCGTGGTTTCTCTGAAGTTTGTATCGAGCTGTCCTGTTTTTATTTGCAGGGCTTCCGGAAAAGGACAGGTTTAATTTTTAGCAGTTCTGAGACAGAGGAGCAGGGGAAAAATTGGAAACGTTGGTTTGGAGAGTGGTGGTTGGATATTGGGAGGAAATTAGAATTCAGGATCCAGTTCAGTTTTATGGAGATATGATCGACATATAACATCGTGTGCATCTAAGGTACACAGCGTAGTGATCTTTATATATGTACACGGTCCAGGTGACAGGGAGGTAACAAAACCTTGACGAAAATGAACAGAACCAGTCCTGGGTGTGCACAAGGGTGTGCCACAGTTTTCCAATGAAACGTTTTTCTCTCCAGAGTCACCACCATTGCAAAGTTTTGTCAACTTAAATACAGAGGGAAACTGAGGCAGGTTCAAGTGACCAGAAACTGGGTTCATTCAGGAGCAGCAGCTGGGGACATACACACGGTAGCAGGTGGCAACGACCCCGTGGAAGGTCCAGGGTGGTGATGGTCACGGATGGGCAGGAGCGTCAAGAGGGGGCGTCCAGCCCAAATCCCAGCAGTGAGTTCCCCGGCTCCAGCTCCGGGATGGGCAGAGACTCTTGGTGGCGCTCATCGGTCAGGAGGTGACTGCGGTTTTCCGAAAGTCCCGTGTTTTCAGGGAATCAGTATGTCAGTTCTCAAGTTTCGGTTTCCTGAGGGCGCAGGTGTGAGATTCTCCACTTCCTCCCTCCGGTGACATTGTACCCTGAGAGTCTCTCAGTTTCAAGGGAAGAGTGGTAAGAGCAGAAGAGATGTTCAGCCTTGCCTAGGTTATAATTCGTGTACCTGAAATGTAATTAATTAATATACACATATTGCAGAACTGGAAGTCTCTGTGGGCAGTCCCTGGGCGTCTGTCAGGACCTCGCCAACCACAGTGTCCTCTAACACTGCCCAGTTTTAACGAATGGTTGGAGTTCTGGGCTATCAGGCGACAGCAGGCTGCTGTTCTCAGCCGGGTTTCAGGCATCATCTCAAATGTTGATGGGCCACAGTCTTTAATTTAAACCCAGCATCTTCTAAGTCAGTGGCCTTCAATGCAAGATGCACATGAGACTTAAAAAATGGAGTTTTTTTCTACATTAATTGATAGAATCGTAGGATTTTTCTTCTTTAGCCTGTTGATGTGACAGATTGTATGGATAGATTTTTGAATGTTGAATCAGCCTTGCATACCTGGGGTAAATCCTACTTGCCCATAGTATATAGTTCTTTTAAAAAATTAAAAAAAATTTTTTTAAATAATTTTTTTAACATTTATTCATTTTTGAGAGACAGAGAGCGCGAGTGGGGGAGGGGCAGAGAGAGAGGGTGACACAGAATCTGAAGCAGCTCCAGGCTCTGAGCCGACAGCACAGAACCTGACGTAGGGCTTGAACCCACAGACCGTGAGATCAAGACCTGAGCTGAAGTCAAATGTTTAACCAACTGAGCCACCTAGTCGCCCCTAATATTTTTTTAGTGTTTATTTTTGAGAGGGAGAGAAAGACAGAGTGTGAGCGGGGGGAGAAGCAGAGAGAGAGGGAGACAAAGAATCTGAAGCAGGCTCCAGGCTCTGAGCTGTCAGCACAAAGCCCGACTCGGGGCTTGAACTCACAGATTGTGAGATCAGGACCTGAACCGAAGTCTGATGCTTAACTGACTGAGCCACCCAGGTGCCCCATATTGTTCTTTTCAAACATAGTTAGATTTGGTTCGCTAATATTTTGTTGGGGATTTGTGTATCTGTGTTCATGAGAAATGTTGGTCTGTAGCTTTCCTTTCTTAAAATGTCTCTACCTGGCTTTGGTCTTATGGTGACGCTGACCTTCTAGAATCGGTTCTATTTTCTGGAAGAGATTGTGCAGAAATGCTATCATTTCTTTCTTAAATTGTGATAGAATCTGTCAGTGAAACCGTCTGGACCTGGTGTTGTCTTCTGTGGTGGGTTGCTAATTTCTGATTCAATTTTATCATGGCCCGTTGACAAGGCAAATTAACACACTTGCTGCAACTGTATAAACAGTCAGGCCAAGCCTAATGAGACCAACCTGACCTTGTGACTGGCAGTAATCTTTGGTGATATTATTATGATCACAAGGAAGACTGTAGGGAAAGATTCAGAAAGACTTTGAAATGGGTTAAAAAATAAAAGCGGGATTGGTGGGTGCCGGTCTAGTTCACCATTCAGGCGATCTCGCTGTTTTACTGGCTTTGAGCTATTTTACAACTCTGTAACTTTGCAGAAAACCGAGAGAATGCAGATAATTCTTACCAGTAGAAATGCATATTCTGTTAGGTGGGGTGCCATCGATTATTGCCCTGTAGATATTGGTCACTTTTGCTAGTTTTGCATCTATTTGTGACTACTTCTCAGTATTCCTTTATTACCATAAATGTGTTGTACTTCAAATTTTTGTTAAATTCCTCCTTAAATTTCTCCTCAACATCTTACTGGTTCCCTCATTAATTGATGAATTAAATAGAATATGTGTCATGTGTTCATTTGATACTTTCTATGCGAGTCATGCTTTTACTTTTAAAAATTGTCCTTTAGCAAACATACTAGGATTTCTTCCCAGAAAATGCACATTGACAGCTGGTATCGCACGCAGTTTAGGGGTTTACAGCCCCGTAAGCCCATCTGTGGGACCCTGTCTGTTCTCAGAAGGCAGGCTGCGATGCCTCCGTCTAACGTGCTACAGTGATCATGCTTTTTCACCCGTGAGCTGATGACAAGTGGCAGGAGTGACAGCTCACACATTTGAGTGTCCCTCGCGGAGGCTAGCATAGTGTCCACTCAGCAGGTGCGCTCACCTGAATGACAGGACAGCTTTCTCTGCAGGCCGGGCTCGTGGCGAATGGTGATTGGTGGGTGGTGGGTGGTGAGTGGAGGCTGGCGGGTGATGGATGGTGGAGCTCCATGGCCGAGTTGGAGGC